TTATGGGCGCCTATGCCGTGGAGCTGGACTACTACTACAAGTTCACCATGGGCCAGGTGGCGCGCCTGGACAAGATAGAGTTTGAGGACAAGGAGTACTGGGCCGAGAATCAATTCAATATGCCTAAGGGCAATATCTATAGCAGTGGATCTCCGGCCAAGATAAGTAGTCTGCCAGCTCTGATGCCGGCCAATCCCAGTTCGGTTCGCCTGACGGTGGATCCGCTGCCCATCCTGCAGAGAACCGTTTCGGATGCTTGCATAACACCAGCGGAGCAGGGAGAGTTCCTGGCTGCCATCACCGCGTCGGGCAGCGCGGATGTCTACGACATGGAGCGTCTAGAGATGCTGGGCGACTCCTTCCTCAAGCTGAGTGCCACGCTTTACCTGGCCAACAAGTATCCGGACTGGAACGAGGGCACCCTCACGCAGGTCAAGTCCAAGCTGGTGTCCAACCGTAACCTGCTGTACTGCCTCAGCGACACGGATATTCCCAGGAAGATAAGCTCCGTTTTGTTTAGTCCAAGGTACACATGGGTGCCCCCAAGTGTTAGTCTGCCCCACAATGTGTTGGCCTTGTGGCAGGAAAAGCCGGAGCTGGCGCACCTGGTGGGTCCACACAACCTGAGGGATCTGGCCCTCAGCGATGAGGAATCGCTAACCAGGAGCAACTGCAGCGAACTGAACTTCCGCAGCTTTGTGGAGGGCTGTCAATCGAATGTGTACACCCATCATGCCGGAGCCGACTTCTCCGCCGAGGTGAACTTCTGCGTAGGTCTGGCCAAGATTGCGGATAAGGTCGTGGCGGACACGCTAGAGGCGCTGCTTGGCGTAATCGTCAAGAACTACGGACTGCAGCATGCCTTCCGGATGCTGGAATACTTTGGCATCTGCAAGGCGGACATTGGAAAGCCTCTTTCCCAGCTGCTGGACCTCAGTTTGGGTGGTGCCAAGATGCGGGCGAATGTAAGCACCTCGGAAATCGATGGCTTCATCATCAATCACCGCCATCTGGAGCAGAACCTGGGCTACACGTTCAAGGATCGCGGGTACCTGCTGCAGGCACTCACCCATCCCTCGTATCCCACCAATCGCATTACCGGCTGCTACCAGGAGCTGGAGTTCATAGGCGATGCCATCCTGGACTTCCTCATCTCGGCCTACATTTTCGAGAACAATTCCAAAATGAATCCTGGCGCCCTCACAGATCTGCGTTCTGCTTTGGTGAACAACACCACTTTGGCCTGCATTTGCGTGCGGCATCGGCTGCACTTCTTCATTCTGGCGGAGAACTCGCTGCTCTCCGAGTCCATAGCGAAGTTTGTGCAGTTCCAGGAGGGCCAGCGCCACAGGGTGACCAACCATGTGAGGATCCTGCTGGAGGAAGCCGACACGCAGCCCACTGCGCTGGACATGGATGACGAACTGGAGATGTGCGAGCTAAAAGAGGCTCTCAATGCCATTGCTAAGGACGGAAAGAAGGGAGACGATGTCCCGCCCAAGGGTGAATACAACATGTCGACGAACGTGGATGTGCCCAAGGCCTTGGGCGATGTCCTGGAGGCCCTGATTGCCGCCATCTACCTGGATTGCCGCGATCTGCAACGCACCTGGGAGGTGATCTTCAAGCTCTTCGAACCGGAGTTGTTCGAGTTCTCGCGCAACGTGCCCATCAATCCCATCCGCCAGCTCACCGAGCACAAGCTGGCCAATCCGGTCTTCAGCACGCCCATCGTCGACCAGGACAAGGTGATGGTCAGCTGCCAGTTCACATGCATGGAGAAGACCATCAAGGTGTATGGATTCGGGAGCAACAAGAACCAGGCCAAGTTGGCGGCCGCCAAGCATGCCCTCCAGAAGTTGAGCAAATGTGATGCCTAAGATGATGTCCCCACGTCCTGTCTTCCTTTTCACTTTCATAAGATTTTTTTAAAAACCCCGCATGCCACTGGTTATCCGGCTTCGAAAAAATCTTTTTAAAGTGCTACGGAAAGCTTGGATCTGGATATAACTTTTTTATTGCTTTTATGAACACCAGCTACTCAACGTCTGAGAACATTCGAATTTTTAGATAATTCTGTACTGTGTATACATATATATAACATTCATTAATCTTCAATTTTCCACTCCTAGAGATTAACTATACCGATGACTCATAAGAGTATACTTTTTAATCGTTGAAACGTATGTACTCAAAGTACGCATCCAACTTTATAAAGTATATATGCTTTTGCTAAGCCGCAATTAAGCTTAGGCGTAACACCAATGCGACTTTGAATATCTTAATTATATAAACCTTATTTAAATTAGCCATTATTGTGGGTATTAAGATACATTGCCAACAAAAAAAAAATATTGACATTTTTTTGGAAAGCACGTTATACAAAAATTATATCTATCAAAAATGTATGTTTTTGTAATTGTTATTTGGAAAAAAACCAAAATCAATAATACTGAAATCAAATTTTATTTTTAAATAGCTAGTAAAAAGCGTTTCCGACCGTATGAAGTTTATATGTTCTTGATCAGGATTTATATTCATTCGGTCAATATTTATCGTCATCCCAACCAATTTTCCAAATCAAACCAGAATATTAAAAGTTATTGACAACTAATTTTTAAAGAGCAAAAGAACTGTTTTAAATTTAGCGTTTTTGCTGGTTTGAAATTGTTATTTGTTAAAAACATAAAATCTGCTATTACACCAAATTCAGAATTTTTACTCACTAAGCCATACACAATTTTACAATAAACTTTTTTATAAAATAATTATTATTTTGCGCTTTTATTTACCGCGTGCATGCTCGAGTTAGATTTACAATCGACGACGTCGTCAACGACGGAACGCCACTTATTTACAATAAAAATGCCGACTGCATTCTCCTCACCTCCGATCCAATCCATGTGCCCATCAGCATCAGCCGTACATTTTCGTTGTTCGAGGGCTTCTACAGTGCTTCACGAACTAAAAATGTTTGTAAGTAACGTTTTGAGGGGGAAACCCGAAATCAAGGGCAATTCAAAAGGTTAAGATTATGTTAAAACGAACCGAAGAGCATTATGCTTACATTTGGAATGATTAATCTAGCAAGACAAAGTACGAACTAAAACAATGTGGACATACACACAAGTACACAAGATACAACTAAAGGGAATGCGAGTGCGCATTCCGGTTTGAGATAAAATAGAGATTAATTTGCTCGCCAGTCCGGAGTACACAAACAGTGCAATCTAAACCCTACAGGTGCAATCCGGTTTGTTGATGCTACGTTGTCGCGTCTGCAAGTTGCGCAGGGCAGCTCCTCCGTACTGAATGCCGCTACCAATGCGCTCGGGATCCAGTTCGCCGGTCTCGATCTTGGCCAGAATGGTCTTGGAGCACTTGAGGAAGGCCTCCTCCACGTTCTCGCCTGTTTTGGCGCTCGTCTCCAGGAAGATGAGCTCTGCAGGGCAAGAGTAGGCTGATTAACAGAGGGAAAATGTATGTTGTAATCCTAGGAAACAGACCGTTCTCCTGGGCAAAGGTGCTGGCCTCCAGGAAGGTCACATCCCGCGCCTCCTCCAAGTCCTTCTTGTTGCCCACCAAGAGGATCACAATGTTCGGACTGGCCAGGGTGCGGGCATCATTCAGCCAGTTTGTGAGGGCATTGAAGGAGTCCCTCGACGTGGCATCGTAGACCAGAAGAGCTCCGGCGGCTCCTCGGTAGTAGGATCTCGTCACCGAGCGGAATCTCTCCTGTCCGGCCGTATCCCATATCTGCAGCTTCACCGATTTGCCGCCCACGTTTACAATCCGCGAGCCGAACTCCACGCCAATGGTGTGCGAGCTGTCGTCCTTGACTGGTAACGGAATTTATAAGGACAAAACAAGGACTTATTGGGATTTCCCTGTTTTTTGAGCTACCAACTTACACTTGCTCTCGATGAAGTGATGCAAGAGACAACTTTTGCCACTGCCTGCGCTGCCAATTATCAGGAACTTGAACAGGTAATCTGGTGCACCGGAATCAATTAGTAACAGTCATTAATTAGTTAATGGTGCGATGACAAACCGTATGTTTCCGACATTGTTTTTGTTCTTCCTCTTCTGCGTAGTTGGTCTCCGTCTTCTTTGTGTGTCCCAGTGGTTGGCCTATTTACGGGGCTATTTGGATTGCTGGTGCGGATGGGCACCAAGAAGGGCGCAGAACACGATCGTAAGGCGCAATATCCGACGTTATAAAGGGCTTTTAAAACAATTAACAAATCAAAAGTTGACCAATTCTGCAACTTGCTGTTCAGTGGGGCAGTAAAAGACAAACAGGAAAATACCAAAGTAGCGTGGGTGTGACCAGGTGGGATAAAAAATGATTCATGTTGAACCTAGCGATTTGTTTACCTTTAAAATGTTTCCTAGTTTTATAATTTATTTAAGTTAGGATAGAAATTGGTAAGCAGTAGTTTATTTTTAGTTGATATTTTCAGGAAGTTTTCCTACTAACATGCTTGTCTTATAAAGTTATTGTTCTAACTTAAGATTTGCTGATCCTCTGCCTGCATATGTACAATTTGGGAACATCTTATGGGTTTTGCTAATCCATTAAAGCTCCTATCCTAAGAATCCTTTTGTTTTTCCGGCACATAGTCCTGATAGCAATTAATAGGATCCCTGGCCGTAAAAACAGAATAAGCCAATTTGCTGCCCTTGAAGTTCTGTTGAATCGGTAAAGGAAAAAAACTTAAAATTTAGATTTTGATAAGAGCCCAAGTGCCCTACCTTCATATCACCAGATATCAGGCTCCATAGGAATACGAAGACCGCCGGTATCACAGTGCACAGGATAAACAGCTCGAAAGTGTTAAGTTCACCGAAAACGGATACTTTCATTGTGATTTCTTAATTATGATGTTGATTTTAACTTAATAAAACTTTTTGTTGATGACAAATTGTTGTGTTTCTCACGTAGACCAAGCAGAGTTGTCACATCTCGCAAAGAAGTTTTGTGCAAACTTAGGGTCATACTGCTTTGGTATTATTTAGGACATTGCGCTCCAATCCATTGCGAATTTTTTGGTGCGAGAGAAAAGTTAATAAATCAACAAAAATGGCTTTCCGCATACCTTTTGGCAAGAAGCACGCTGAGATCGCGACTTCCTTGTGAGTAAAAGACATTGTTCTTGATCCTACATCAAAGGTTTGAAGGGATTTCGGCGTGCTACCATAATACACTCCACACATTGCATAACCATCAAGAACTCAACCAGGTTTCTTTTGATTTCTAGCATCCGATCTGGAGCTGGATTCGGAGGAGCTGCTGGCCTGGCCGTGCTCTACTACACCGACTGGAAACTGGTTCTGCAGTACGTTCCCATCTACGGCTCCAAGTTCGATAAGAGCGAGTAATCCCATCCAACCGACACTGTTAGCCTCGATGTTTTGCTTGGTGAATAAAATAAGTTAAAACGACCCACTGGGTATTACTGAAAATCATCGTATATTACAAATAATTTTGTAGAGAGCACACGAATCGGTTAGATTGTTCTCTAGCTAACTTATCGCTAGGGCTTAAGTAACTTGTCCTTAAGACTTACATACATGGCTAGCCTATTTTGATTAGGGACCGTATAAAAAGTACATCGTATTCATTTCTTTTCTAAAAAGAATAGTAGGAGATTGCGAATTGGAAGCCCGAATCGACCGGCGATTGAATGAATTTAGACGAGTAATTTGGAATTTCGCTCAGTAAGTTCTAGGTGGAGTCCACCTAGGAATCCGGCTCGACAAAGGAAGCGGGAAACAGTCCTGTTTTGTGGGTGCGCGCATGGGTGCCCTTGTACCAGCCGTTCTTCTGCTTGCGCTGCACATAGATAATATCGCCCAAGTGCAGCTCCAGTTCGATGTCGCTGTTTGGTGGATACGGCACAATGCAGCGAAAGCGACTGCAACAATAGATAATTTCAATTAGGGTCTTTACTTCTTTTGCGTGGTCCTAGAACCCACCTTTCTCGAGTGCAATAAGCAGACTTCGTGGTGGCACTGGCCTTGATGGCCGCCTCAGTGATAACATTGCTGCTGGGACTGAGAACATGGCCCGCATCCAGGCTGTGCGACTTCCGATGGCTAGGTGCAATGATCATGTTGGCATGCAACTGCGATTGCGGCCCTCCTCCAGGCAGCGTCTGTTGCTGACCTCCAGCATAGATAGCTGGAGCTACTGAGGAAACAGGTGGCGGAGACGAAGCGGCATTGCTGTACATGCTGCGAAACGCGGCTGCATCCAGGGATTGTCTGGCACTGGATGAAAGTTGAGCAGTTAGTAAAGTTTATTTACCCTTCATGAATTTTTTGGCTTACCAAATCAATTGAGGACGATCCTTGTTTCCTTTTACACGTTGCGATCCATAGGAAACGCTGCTGTTGGTGGCAGCAGGCAGTTGCTTGGGCAGAAACTGCTGCGGTTGTGATGCTGCCTTCGTTGTGGAAGTTTCATTGAGCGGTTGACTGTGCTGCAGTTGACTGGGGCACGAACCGGATCTAGAGATATACAACACGGCCACATTAATAATGGTCTATTAAGGTTACTCGGTAGTGTAGCTCTTACCTAACATGCACTGGGTGCAATTTAGCTGATGGTTTAGTTGTGGCTTCCGCAATTGGACTGGTAACATCTTTCGAAGCTTGCTGCAGCGATGCTCCCGGGGATTTTGAGCGTGTTTTCATGTGAGTCAAGCGCCGCATAAGACCCACTGCCCCCGAAGAGCTGCTGCTCGTGGCAGGGGCGTTTGTGGTTTCTGCCTTAGGTTCCGACTTCCGGCTGAACAACGCCTCCACCGGCTTCGTCCAAACGGAGCAACTAGTGGTCGTGGCGGTGGCGTGCTGCTGCTGCTGACGGGGCGGCAAATCCGGTGGCTGCATGGGTAGCATGTTGTTAAGCCGGACATCTGGAGCAACTGGCTGCTGCTGTGGGTTCGCCTGCTGGGCTTCCGAGCTTTGGGGAACGTATTTCCACTGGTGCATCAACTGCTGCTGGTCGCGGGTGCGCAATGGCGTCAGGTAGTTACCCGGAAACACCCCGGTAACATCCAACCAGTTCTTGCCTTTAAACCAACCGTCAACACAACGTTCGATCACAATGTAAACGCAGCCCTTCTTTAGCTCCAGTTCGTCCGTTTGCCGTGGCTTGTAAGGGAACAAGGCCAAGTAGCCCCAAGGCAAATTAGGGGGCATTTGCTGCTGCACATTTGTCTTAAGGACTCGCGCGGATTGCGAGGCGGAGGAATTGGGTTTGGGGGCTGCAGAGTTGGCCACCTCTAGGCGGCTCAGCTCATGCGGCAGGCTAAGTATCTCGGCCGAATGACGGTTGGTCTGAAGTAGACTCAAAGGAGCTCCTCCTCCGAGCAATGCATTGAGTGAGTGCCGCTTTTCCTTGGCTCCCTTGTCCCGAAAACGAACCGACGCCGATCCAGAAGCCACCACATGCTGCGGGGTATTCGGCAGCGAGGACTGGTGATTCGGACTGCAATTGTTCGAGCTGGACGTGGAACTGGAATTACTGCTAGCCGGCGTGGTGTTTGAGGATCCCGAACTGGACTCCGTTACCACCGTGGGATCAATTACTGGCACCGGAGGAAGCGCACGTTGTGCTTGCTGCAGCGGCGGATGGCACGGTGGTGGATGGTTGATGATCCCGCTGTCCAGCAGCTTTTTGGCCGCTGCGTTCAACTCGACGAAGGCAATGGGAAAGATTCCAATGGACTGGCCAATGCGTCCCTCAGCCCAGTTGTGATCCACGCGGCGCATGACATGGATGACGGTGCTCTTCTTGAACTCTAGACAGCCCTCCTCATCATTGGGTCCCATCTTGAAGTCGTACATGGCGATGCACTGCGGCATGGGCAGCGGCACCGATACCTTTACATAGTTGATGGGGAAGGTTCCCTCCTGGCCATTTGCCTGGCCAACGAACCAGTTGTTGTCGATGCGGTGTTTGAGCAATATCAAATCCCCCTTCTTGAACTTCAGATCGCTGGCTTCGCTGGAGGCGAAGTCGAAGAGAGCATAGGCGTGGGGGAGTAGAAACCGGCGTTGCTTATGACGTGCCGGCTGTTGAGATTGCTGATGTGTTTGCTGCTGCTGGAGAAGCTGGTTGCCAGGTGGCGGGGCCACTGGTTCCGCTAAAGGCTGCGTTTTTGGCTTTTCCTCCTCCTCACCTTTGCCATCGCCTTTTCCAGCGGCTGCAGTTTGTTTCATGCCTGTAAGTAGGGGGTTTTTAGTTAGATATAGCCAGGTATAAGACATTCAATTGCCAAAGCCACTCAGCCGCACTCATAAAGTCAAGCATTCTAAGCTTTGTAGCGTAGGTTGTGCTGTGCCAGTTGAGATTCGCGTGGGCGCGGGTGTCGTTACCTTCCAAGATTCGCATCAGCAAGACATTGGGTGGCAGCTCATCGATTTTGGAGGACACCAGGATGCGGCATTCCGGGCAGCGCAGCTTATGCTGGCTGGCCACAATGTCCTGGAATTTCACAAGATTAATATGCATATTGAAGGGGAAAACCAAGTGATATTACTCACCTGCAAGCACTTGCGACAGAAGGTGTGCTGGCATGGCAGCACCTTCGAGGTGGTGTCCAGTCGGTCCAGGCACACGGAACACTCCAACAGGTCGTTCAGCGTATGCTCGTCCATTTCAACACCAATGTGCAAATCTCAAGGATGGTCACTATTTGAATTTCGTGCAGGGCCACATTCCAAAGCACTTACACATGCAAAGGTAGGCACACACATACGCGCATACGCAATTCCAAGTCGCGCTTAGGAAATTTGTATGTTTCGAATGCTAATCGCTACCAAACTAATCACTACCATTTGTTTTAAATGCTCTGATTCACATTATCACTTTTTTGCAATCGGCAGCTTTTATATGTTAGACTATTTAAGATTATTAGGTGCAGCCGAAGCTCGTGGCCTGTGCTAAGCGGATATGTTGTATGCACACGGATATAAAACCAGCTTGCTTCTTGAAGCACAGTTGAGTCCACAAAACTACGTCCAATAGGAATATTGTTTTTGCTTTGTAGAGTTAAAAGAGTGAATAAAAAAAAAATATAAATTTTTTAGGTATGTATTTGTTTTAACTACATACATAACAACCATTTTTTACCTTAGTTTTTATGGCTTTAATAGAATAAAACTATTTTTAAGGCTGATCCTAAACTTATTTGCACTGCAGTTGTCATTTTAGTGTGACCAGTCCTAGGGATAGAGATTTTTTGCCAGCGCATTCTTAACAAGTGTTGCAAGTCGCCTACAAATAGTGCTGACTAACGCTCAATCCCTTTGTTTTTTTATTTCAACCAAACACGTGTGTTTTGGTTTGAGTGTGCCGAAAAAATATATTTTAATTTATTTACGAGGCACTGGGCGGATTTGAGACACCATGCCGAAGGTACGCAGCACCCCGGGGAAGCCCCGGACGCAGGGATTCAACCACTCCAACCACTCGATGAATCCGGAGCGCCCCAAAAGTGGCCTTAAAGGAGTCGCCCACCCCCGCACCAAGGGAACAATTAAGCGGCTCCAGATGTACCGTAACTTTAAAGCCAAGCGCGATCGCACTGGAAAAATCCTCACACCCGCCCCCTTCCAGGTGAGTTCCATTCACAGGTGGAGATGCTCTTTATGACTTGAGAACTTGTACCCATAATATCTTTTTACCTTTGTAAGATGAACCATAGAAATCATACTTATACTGATAAGATAGTAATCAGTTTGGTTTAACTGTCAATGATTTTTGAATTTCTAACAGAAGTTTTATGTATTAACATACCTGATCATCGTATAAGGATAAACAATGACATGAAACATTTTAATACTTATAAGTTTCACAAAGGTAAATGATAAGATAATAGGAATTCAACAAACTTTTTAATGAAATTAAAATAATATTTTATTGTAGAAAAAACATGTTAATACAAAGTTTGTTCTTGTAATATAAAATAACTTAAAGGATGTGGTTTCCACAATTATTTGGTTATTTTATGGCTTTCTTCCTGATAACTCAGTTTTGAACATGTTTGTGTTTATACAAAGTTCTTTGTAAATATGTCTATGGGGTAAAATGAGATATTCCATTCCAAAGCTGCCTAACCATATAACAAATATCAAAAACGAATGCCAGATTCATTAGTTTTAAACATCCATATGGTCACAGTTTGGTTTCGTTTGAGAAACTCCTTTTGAAGAGCATAAATAAAAAAAAAATTTATCGAGATTCGGTCCTCCTTGAAAACGTATCTATCAAGATGGCAAAATGCTGCGTCCGTAGATCTTGCGGACATCGGCGGGATGGGCCCGCTTCATGCAGATGGGGCACCGACGCGACTGCCGGAGGACTGTGCGGATGCACTTCTTCCCGAAGAGGTGGCCACAGCGCAACGACACAAGGCGGTGAGCACCCTCCGATTCCCAGGGCGACAGGCAGATGGAACAGGTGATGTCCTCGGACATCCCGTTCAGCTGCTGGTTGAGCCCGTTCAGCTCCTCGCTAAGGTCGTCGATGCTGTCCGTACTCATTAAATCCTTGACGGCCAGTTCGTCCAGCAGACCCTGGCGGTCCAGCTCCAGCTCGCGCACTATCAATTGCATGGATTGCTCCTGCTCCAGGTACTTCTCCTGAATGGTGGCGTAGTTGCTGATCTCCTGCTGCAGCTGCTGCAGGATGCCAACGCGCTCGCTGTTGAACTGCTCCAGCTGCGCATTGAGTAGTTCCAACTGGTGCACTCGTTGCTCCAAGCTCGCGTTGCGTTCCTCTAACTGCTGGGTTCGTCCGGCCTTCTGCTGCAGAGTGGCAACCTTCTGCTTCTCTTGCTGCAGCTCATCCACCAGGTCGTTCATCTTGCGGAAATTTTGCTTCATCTGCTGCGACAGAGAGGAGTCGGAGCAAGAGGCTCCTGGCTTGGATGATCCCGGATTCATTTCGTTGAGGGCGACTCTGACTTTTGGGACAACATAAAACTTGTGACTGCAAGATAAGAACTGTTTGCTTCCAAGTTTTACTCCCTTTGTCAACCACGTGTGAAGCTCAACTATGCAGTTTCTTTTTGCATTTCGATACGCAAATGAACGAGATGGCAGTCCGATAATTGCGGTAATCGATTTATAGAATTACCGATCGATGTATAATTCGTTTAAAAGGATGTATAGTTTAATGTAATATGTATGTAATATTGGGGAGTCATATCACCTTGCCACATCCAAAAGCTCATCTTATGGTTTTCTTTAGAAAAGTCTTGAATATTACGGATTGAATAATCATTTTGAAATATGTAAATGATGATAACTACAGAAAAACTTAATCGGAAATAAGTAGTTACTAAGTCCTCTCTTCGTATTAATTTTTTTTTTTTGTTAACCAAGATTAATTTATAAAATATTTTTTTTTAGGGACGCCTACCGGCTGGAACGATGGCCCGAGTGGAGCCCACGCCCAAGTGGTTCAGCAACTCGCGTGTCATCTCGCAAACGGCGCTGCAAAAGTTCCAAGATGAGATTGGCAAGGCTGTCAAGGATCCCTACCAGGTCATCATGAAGCCCTCCCAGCTGCCGGTGACGTTGCTCAACGAGGCGGCCAAGTACAAAAGGGTCCACCTGCTGGACACAGAAAGCTTCGACACCACCTTTGGACCCAAGAAGCAGCGCAAGCGGGTCAGCCTGAAAGTGCGCGATCTGGAGGATCTGAGCAAAGCGGCCGATGATCAGGCCGACAAGTACGATTCCGCAAAGGACTTGGATCTGATACGCGAGGACACGGGCGAGAAGAAGGCCGTGCGGGATTGGGTCTTCGGTGCGGGACAGAGCAAGCGCATCTGGAACGAGCTACACAAAGTGGTGGATGCCTCCGATGTGCTGCTCCAGGTTCTGGATGCCCGCGATCCCATGGGCACGCGTTCCAAGTACATTGAGGAGTTTCTGCGCAAGGAAAAGCCGCACAAGCATCTCTTCTTCATCCTGAACAAGGTGGATTTGGTGCCGGTGTGGGTTACCCAGCGTTGGGTGGCCATCCTTAGTGCCGAGTATCCCACCATTGCCTTCCATGCCTCACTCCAACATCCGTTTGGAAAAGGTGAGTTTTTCAAAATTTAAATATTGATTACAGGGTTGTAAATTTGCTTACTTTTATAGGTGCGCTTATCAACCTGTTCCGTCAGTTGGGCAAACTGCATCTGGACAAGAAGCAGATCAGCGTGGGCTTCATTGGTTATCCCAATGTGGGTAAATCCTCGGTCATTAACGCTCTGCGCTCTAAGAAGGTGTGCAAGGTGGCTCCCATTGCGGGCGAGACGAAGGTGTGGCAGTACATCACGCTGATGAAGCGCATCTTTCTAATCGATTGTCCTGGCGTGGTGTATCCCACCGCGGAGACGGACACCGAGAAGGTGTTGAAGGGTGTTGTCCGCGTAGAGCTGGTCACAAATCCCGAGGACTATGTGGAGTCTTTGCTGCAGCGAGTGCGCCCCGAATACATTTCGAAGAACTACAAAATCGATCACTGGAACACATCAACCCACTTCCTGGAGCAGCTGGCCCAGAAGACGGGCAAACTGCTGAAGGGTGGCGAGCCGGACGTCACGGTGACCGCCCGCATGGTGCTCAACGACTGGCAGCGAGGCAAGCTGCCTTTCTACGTGCCCCCCGAGGGATTCGCCGTTCCCAAGTCCCAGGAAGGCAAGCAAGATGCGGAAGTAGTAGTTGCCGACGATCCCAACGAAGATGCCAAATCCGAGGCGCCCACCTTTGTCAGCGAGTCGGTGAAGAAGGCGCGAGAATTCAAGCAGATTCAGGACTTCCGAAAGATTCGTGTGGGTCTGGAGTACCAGCAAGAAGATGTGAAGGAGCTGGACCACATAGACCTGGAGCTGTTGGAGCAGCAGAAGGCCGAGCGGGCGGCCAAGAAGAAGGCGCGTCTTCACAACCTCGGCGAAGAGGAGGAGGAGTCGAGCGATGGAGCGGACGAGTTCTACTCGGAGGACGAGTACAACGAGGACTTGCAGCGCGTGGTCCACAAGAAGGCCAAGGCGAAGAAGACCCAGCAACTGGCCATCACGTCGTCCGGTAAATTCCGCGTGGCCAAAATACAGCCGGGAGATTCGGACGATGCCGCTGGCAGCTCCGACGACGATGGCCCAAGCACTTCGAAGGCTCCCCGGCTGACAGCCAAGCAGAAACGCTCTTTGGAGCGCAGCCAGAAACGCAAGAAGATCGGCAGCAACTTCTACGAGACGACGAATGTGAAGAACCGCAATCGGAACAAGAAGAAGGACGCGTAAAACGTTACGTTTACACTCTATAGGCTATATTCTCTTGCAAGGAAAGAAACTACATATTAAGAATCCAAATAAAAAGTGCTGATCCTACTCGGTGCACTGCTTCTTTTTGGGAATTTTACGGCCACACAAGTCGGTCCGGCTGCACAGGTCCACGGGCTCCTCATCATCCGTGCTGGCCTCCGAGTCGCTGGATTCTGTGTAGGAACCAATGCCCGGCAGCACGGCAATGCATTTAAGGGCTCCCTGATCGTATTTGTTTGTGGTCAGCGTGGTGTTCGTTGTTGCCTTCTCCGATGGAACTTTGGACTCCGCCTCTGTAGCGCTGGGCACCACCTCGTCGTCGGCTATCTTGGCCACTTTGCTGGTGGTGGGCAGTTCCCCGTTTTTCCGCTTGATGCCCTGGCCCAGCAGCGACTTTTGGCTGTTGCGTCCGGCCGAGGCTCCCGCGGATTTGGCCGTGGTTTTAAGCTCTGCCTGGAGTTTCTGTGGGTGGAGATGTTGAATCCCATAGCTAGTCGGGGTTTGCCTATCCTACCTTATCCACACTCTCCTCCTGCAGCTTCTCCACGCGATTGCGGAAATCCTTTAGCTCCAGCTCCTCATCGCGCATCTGCTGCCGCTCCGCATTCATCTTGTGCGCATCGACCAGCTCCAGGAACTGCACTTCATCATCGTCCAGGCCTCTAATAAGGTTTTCTGTGCATAAACATTTGTTTATAGGGCCGTGCATATGACATTGTCAGTAGACCTACTTAACTTGTGGGCCTCCTCGTACTCCATGTCCTTTTTGTCCTTATTCTGTTTAAGGCGTTCGTACAGGGAACGTGCGTCGTAGGGCTCCTCCGGCCTTTCCAGTGGATCCTCCGGCTGACGCACACGCTCCCATTCCTCCTGACGTCTTTGCCGCTGCTCGGCGGCCTCAGCTTCAGTCACAAACCCTGAACTCATGCTTTATTTCCGTAAAATTGCTCTTTTGTACACACCACAAATGTTGCCAGTGTTGGTGAAGGCCAAACTAACAGCTGTACTTTGTATGCAAAGTGTTGCAAATGGCTTTTGTAAATTTAAATTAAAGGCGGTAGAGAGAATTTCTCTCCGATTTGGAAGCCCTTTTAATGCAGCATCGCCTCACTCCTCCAACTGGAAGCCTTGGACGCGTACGCGTCCTATTCCTAGAGCAATTGATCTGAGCTATTTTAATAAAAACAGACTTCTGTGCCGGCGTCATTTCTCGCCATTTTCTGCCTGCTATTTTAGCCACGTCAAACTGCTTTAGTTGATGAATGCCGCGCCTTTGAAGATTACTCCGGAATTGATCAAGGAAAACAAAGTAGGGTTTGACGGACAGGGGCTTGGTCATTCGCATCGCCCATCCAATAGTGGAACTGCTTACCAGGAAGTTTTCAGCCGACATTATACATATACTTGCATTTTGAATGCTTTAACCAAACAAACTCCATTTACGTGAAAATCTCTGGTTACATAGCTTTATTTCAGGAATATCTCAATAGGAAACATCTATACAGAGAGAGAGGGTGCTTGCTAAATTCTCCAATAAAGAGCTATAGGACTAGCAAAATACACGATATTTTTATACACACATATGGAGGCGTTTACACGTTTTGTTTACAAGTTCATAAATTCTCGACGCTTGCCCGATTCCATTGTATACTATATATATAGTCAGTTTATAGACATAATTGAGGTCAGCACACTTACAACGAATACAGCGAATAGGTTACACGATAATACGGCTGGGTTTAGATGCTCCGCCGTAGTTTTGAGTATACTTTATAGGATAATACTGTTAGGAACGGATCCGGACTCTTTGCCAGATCTAAAGGATGCTGCACGAGCTCTTCTCACGGAACGGATTCACCTTCTGGGTGAAGCCGCTTAGAAGGCAGTCCTCTTCCTCGTGCTCCAGCATGTACTTCATCATCAGGGAGCAGGCCTCCGAGACGGGCATCCGCTCCATCTCCACTTCCCGGCGAAGCTGCAGGTTGATGGAGCGCTGCTGTTGCAGGTTCGCAGCCATTATGTCCAGGACGGCTGTCTCCGCGAGACCTATGGTGGATGCTGGGATGCTAATTCTGCCGCCTGGATACTGGGCAATGAGCTGCAATTTCCTTCAATTGATTTTCTTAACCCCCTTCGTTTTGTACTTTTGTAATCGGAAAATATGCGCTTCACCTGTCGCTGATTTTTTCTGGTGGGGGCGCTGAAAAATCAATATTTACAAAAGTGTGACCGCGCTGGGTACGACGCTTTGATTTTCCAGTTTTTCAACGCCTGCAAAAGCTTTAAATCTGTTGCGGGTGTGGAGAAAAGTTCAATCTTTCTTTGGATCTTAAAAGCTTGGTTCTTGAATTTCTTAATGATTTATTTCCTTCTTGCTCGAAGAAATAAGAGTTTTAATTAAATAATACAAATTCAAATCTCCTTTTAAAACAAATTTTGTTCTTTTCTAAATACCCATAGCTACAATAAAAAAAAACAATTTTCTGGATTCTCTGGAACTTTACCATAATAATAAATAATTAAAATACATATTTTCCTATTTCCAAATAACTAAAAACCGCAATGAATTTAATTCAAAGCGAAACATATTTAAAATTCGTATGATGTCCATAGATTAGCAATTTTTTTATTAGTGTAGGTAATATGGTTTCCAGCCCTTTAATTTAAAAGCCTTTAAATTAGTTTCAACTTTATTTAATACGTTTTATTTTATATGCGTCGGACACCTTTTATTTCATTCATTGCAAAAATATATATATCATTCTCTGAGTTTAGATGTTTCCATTAAAACTATGTTAGCATGCTGAAAATAGAATAGTTAGATTTAGCATTCTATGGTCTAATTCTTTTTAACTTACTCAGGCATAAAGTCAGTAGATAGCTTAGCTGACTTTTCCGAATTAATGTTCAGTTCCTTGGCCAAATCTGAGTCCGGTTTCCGGAAGGCATTGGCCATAATCAGGATGTTCTTAGCTATGCGTTGCTGATCAATTCGTTTTTGAGCCGTATCTGTCCTTCTATCAGCGTTCTCCGACATTCGCTGTTCGATGGGCAAGTCCACTCCTGGAGGAGATTGGAGTGGCTCGGGATTGGTCCAGATCTCAGTGCCAGGTGTTTCTTTTCCAGTGGTCGGAGATATAGCCGGTCGCGCTGGTATCAGAGGTGAACGGACACAGACTCTGCAAAAATATTAAAATTCGAATTCCACTTTAGTCAGGGGAAACTATACCGATATTATGTTACTGTATAAAGAAAAAATTTAAATAGCAAATTTAAAGATAGATCGTTTTCTTGATTTGGGAAATTTAAAATATCTTTTCTAATTCATAGGAACAGAAACAAACTTTTATTACAAATCCTTACATGACTAGTCACACTCTAGGTTTGTTTTTAAAAACATTTAAAAAAACACATTTCATAAAAACTTGTTAAAAAGTAGAAAACGTTTGATATATGATTTTTCACTCCTTTTTCGCCTGGGTCTCCTGGCTTGGCTCATTTTCCTCTTCGTTCCCGTTCGGATTCGACCTAGAACGAGTCAGAAATGGTAGAGAACAATGAGCCAAGCCTGGAGAAAGAACGAACCGACATATCTCAAAAATGTGGATAGTATCTAAATCGACGCAACCCTTAGTAAACCCAACTTACTTATTCACATCCTCCAGCTTCTTCAGCAGGCGCTCGTTTTCCCGGCACACAATCTCCTGATCCCTGAGGATGGTCTCTCGCACGGTGAACAGGTGATTGTTCTCCTGCCTCAGGGACTCGTTCTCCACCATGTAGAGCTTGACGAGCTCGGCCAGCTCGGAACCATCTAACTCTGGCAACCGTTGTAGGTCAACCTTAGGCACTGGCGCTCCACCTCCACTGCTTACACGATCCAGCTGAAGCTCGATGAGATTATCTGCGGCTCCACCATTCGGCGGCGTTTGATGGTGAAGATTCAGAGCTGCCTTCAGGTGGTCGTTCTCCATTTGAAGTGCATGGATGTCACGCTTTAGACTGAGGATCAATGCCTCTCTGGGATCCATCTTAATCACTGGCTTGGTGCGTATCCTCTTGGCCCGAGAGGCATATCGCAGGGTATTCAAGGTTTCCGCATGATTGTAGTGGGCAGGTGAAACGCAGGCGATCATCAAAGTTACCCCATTCCCCGCCAGACTGTCGGCCAGGAGCTTGGTGAGCTGGCTGTCCCGATACGGAATGTGGCCCGATCTCTTCTTGGAGTCGCTCAGTGAGGAGATGCAATAGCCCAATACCATTAAGCTCTTGTTAATGTTGTTCGCCTCCTCCAGCGTTTTTCCCTCGCTCATCGTCTTCTTGGTCAGCTCACTGCCAGCCAGGTCAACAAAGTTGATTTTTCCGTGCTTGGAGAGGAATACTCCGCCGTCCGTCTGCTGATCGGATAGGATGTGAACCGTCAAGATTGTGTGGGATCGCGAGGAGTGATCGTTCATGGCATGGGAGCCAACGGCACGATTTCTCATACCTTTAAGGTAAGTTTCAAGAAAGTTAATTGTCCAAATCTATTATATAGCAAGTTCCTTACCTTCTTCCAGAACAGCCAGTAGGTCATCCAATTCTTCGCAGTCTACCGTGAAGAGGTTCTCCACAAAGAAGCCACCCGATTTCTTGGACCAGCGCACCGCCAGCGGTTTTCGTGCACTTCCCGGATTGAGCAAATCGATTACCTGCGGGCAAGATATAAAATTCAATTCAATTTACTAAACCAATAAGGAAATTGGAGGAGGGCTAAGAAAACAAATCATTGAAAATGCCACGCAAAATGCAGAAACATTTCACGCATCGTGACATTCCTCGAAAGGTGGGTGGACTACCCGTCAGAATAGCTTCCTATTTTCAGTGGGTGGAGCGTGCTGACATCCATTAAATGGAGGTCAATGCAATGCATGGTTACGGTGTGTGGAGCAATCGGTACTATGGCAAATGCAATTTGGATTTCAATTGGATTTGCAGAGGTCAAGTCATGGGCACTTGTCATTAAAGTTAATTGTGAGCCCCACGTGGGGCGCCACTTACCCGCTCATTGTAGATTTCCATGAAGGAGGCTTTTAGCACGTAGTTGACGTCTTTGCGATTCTTAATCAATTGGAAGAGATACAAAAACGAACGGAAGATGAGGCCATGACGCGGATCCTTGGGATTCGGCTTGCCTACGAACTATTAAAGAAAATGACACGATAAGGACACACGATTTGTAAAGCTAATTAGACTCTGACTTACCAAATCTGGGGGTCCAGTGAGTGTGTGTGTTTTGCCGGAGCCCGTTTGGCCATAACAAAACGCCGTGCAGCTGAACCCCTCGATGCCCATTTCGATAATGCGCTTAATGCCAGAATAGTCAAGGATGTCCTCCTGCGTGGCTCCTGGCTCGAAGACCACGTTGTAGGTGAAGACGCGAACGCTATCCCGATTGTGCGACCTTTTCTGGCCCACATCATTGCCCTCGAGCTTAAAACGTTTTGTTATTAGTTATTGAACAAATTATAAATAATAATACTTACTATAACTTGTCCATTCCCGGGAAACTGCAGCGTGGATCCGTGACGATCGCGTTTCTCCTTATCGTTTAGCGGACGCACTCTCACCACCACATTAATGTTGTCCTCGGGCGTGGAGCACTCCTCGCTGCCCGTGGACTTGGAGGCAACTATTTCCAGAGTGTCAGCACTACCAATTCTGGGGAGATATACATAGTTTAGTTAGAGGAAGTTGCATTCTTCATCCTAAATGTATGCTTTAATTTTCTGAACGTTCAATTGATACTGAAATCTTTGTACTTCAATATTATTATCTACAAGGACTTTGTAAAAGTTTTACAATATTATTATATGACTACTAATTAAAAAATTGATTTAAGAACTAAGATTAATAATTAAATATTTTCAAATACGAAAAAATATCCCTTTAGGTAGAATGTACTCCAAAGGAGAGTAACTTGCAAGGAGTTAACTTCAAGGATATTAGCTCCTGAAATCAAAACCCTAACTATAATACTGTAAACGAAGTATCGCAAAAATTGCAACTAATCAAACAATATATTGATTTCTGGTATATAGTTCATAAACTTGAAGCTCTAATGTCGCTACAGTACCTACAATCGCAATTAATCAATCAAAGTGGAAACAAAGCGTACATTTTTTTATGGACTCGGATTGTTGTTGCCCATGCGAATTTCCAGAATTTCTGGAGTTGCCTTGAACTTGGTGGAGTTCTGACGTAGACCGGCCTATAAATAGCCAAGGTTAAGGGTGGCTCGTTACTTTCGGGGCTTTTCTGTTTCATTTGACCACCTTTTTCACACTAATTCGCTATTAGTTTAGTTGAGTTGGAGTCACAGGTCACATTTCAATTGGATTAACAAATTAGTTTCAAAGGAACTTTATCGCTGCCTTATGGAAATATGTAAATAAAAGGCAGTAAATTATTGATAAGGATTTACGCAAGTTTTTGTTTTAGTTAGTCGTCAACCCGGCAATTATTCAACTAATTTTATGGTACCCCCTTAAATCCAAACAAAGTTTCCAATACAAACAGTTCATTGAAATACAAATAGCCCGGACAACGTGGCGTATGTGCAATGTGTCATCTTGGCGTGATTGTGTGTGGCACACACCGTTGACATTTAACATTTTCACGTAAATGACTTGTTAAACATTTATGCTCTAATGTCCATATACTTGAGTCCACCTTTATTAATCGGACAAGAAGTGGGCCTGCTGTGTGCTCTTGGTAAATATTTCAGGAGGCGCCAATAGAAAGAAACAAACACGAACCCCCTGGAGTGCCGACTTGTGAAGCTACCGCTGTGGAAAGTTCAATCAACTTTTGGTCTACCAACAGTCGGTCCTAAATAATTAATCAGCCAATAAAAAACCGTATAAAGGTTTAGCTAAAAGCGAAAGTTTTGATTTTGATTTCGAAAGTTCATCGGAATCCTAGATGGATTTAAGCAATTTATTTTGCCATATCAAGCTTAAATCGACAAAAATATTTTAATCATAACAATGTTTTACTTATTAAGAGTATGTAGATTAACTTTTAAATAATATAAATTAAAAAGTAAAATTATCGCTACCTACGAATTTTTTAATAATTCAATGAATTATGCTTCTTATAAATTAAGAAAATCTGCTCCATTTCGTTTTCATATACCATCATTATTTGTTGTAATTAACAAATTTGTAATCCTGAGTAAATAAAAAAGCCTACTTGTAAGTATTGTTTATCTTTGCTCTGAACAAATATAAATAATTGCCCTGCGCCGATTTCACAGGAGCGAGAAGCCTCAGGTTAAACCCAGTGAGGAGTCAAAAAATGGGTTTTTCTGTGTTTGCGAGTCAAATAAAATGTAGTAACGAGTGAGGGGTTGGAACTCTCACTTTTATTTTCCAGCCATGGAATCCTATGTAGAATCGGAGTGAATCGGAGGCGCCAGTGGGAGACATTTATTAGCCATGCAAAGTTTAGGCAACGAAATGTCAGACTTGATTATCTGCGGGGGCGTAATTATGACCTAACTCGTGTTGTGCATGCCAGAAAATCTATACGAATGTGAGCAGTATAAAGTTCGTATGGATTTTTAAACTGCAAACTTACAACAACGCACGCGAATTCCCTCTCGGAGTGTTGCCCTGAAAAAAATGTGCATTTAGCTAGTGTATGACTATTCTCTGGCTTTATCTACTTGATATAAGGATATATATATGTATATATATTAATGACTGTTTTCAAAGTGTGTCGTCCATCATATGGCTATCAACGCATTAATTAATCAAAAGGTTGAGACCCATGCGTGCTCCAAAATAATTATAACGCCCATAATGGCGTTAGTCTGGTGGGATTAATCACAACGTATCCATAAAATAAATTCAGGTTCCATATATCCAGGCAATTTAATAAATTACCAAGTGACATAGGTGTCAATTGTGGCCTTGTTCATGATAATTAATCTCTCTAATCCAATATTTGCTTGTATGGAACATTCAAACTAATTAAAGGAATGGAAAATACCTAGATAATACAGATGAACCATGTATTAGTTTAATTTTTTTTCTTTACCTCCAAACCCTGTTTAAATTTATAATAATAGAAGAATATCGCTTAGACTATTGAGATGAACCCTGTATTAGTTCAAATTTTCACTTTACCCACCAATCACCTTATTTCTCTAAATAATTAATGATCTTACCGAAACCACAAACCTACACTTAACCCACTTGCTGAAGAACCAAGGAACTAGGGTCCTTAACCTTAACTCCATTGTGCCTGCTACACCTGAACTCACATCGAAAATAAAAAAACTAACATAAATATGTCACTTTCGCTCTCAACTGCGGTCAAACGCAGACAGCTATAGACTTCAATATGCTTTAATTGCAAAATCGATTTGTGTCGTGTTCGTTCAGAACCAGAACTCAACCCCCAGATCTCAGCCGATTCTTTTGTCGGTTTCCATCCCACAAAAAGTGTTTAAGTCCGGCTAACTGCTCGTCCGTTTGTCTGACCGCTTGATTGCCTGTCCGTTTGTCCGGCTGTCTGTCCGTTAGTCGCCCTCCCGACTCCTGGGTTATTGTGCGTGGTCATTATGGTTTGGCTTGTGGCTTCTCGTCCTTTACTTCGCCTCGAGGGTTTTTAATGGATCGCCTATTAGGGGTGAGCTGCTTCTGGCCTGTCGTGTTTATCATTACCCCTTCTCTGTTCCAATTTCCCACTTCCCACTTTTTATTTCCCTGGCATGCGTTTCCTTGTGATGCAAATTAATACATTTTCTACGTACCCTCATATAGACATTGTTAATAAGTAATAGCCTATATTACGACTTTCCCAAGGTTTTATAAAGGAAGCATTTTTAATATTACAGTGGCTATTAAAATTCCAAAAATATAAGTACAGTTGACTATGGATAATTAGATTTTTCTGGAAGAACAAGTTTGGTTGATCTATCCACCCTAAATGCAAAATTTTTGACACAATTAAAAGAAACTATAATTTCTTTTTTTATTTTAAAAAAAGTCCGTTTTTAAAACAGTAAAAGTTTCCTTTTCCTTTAAAGTTTTGACTTTATGAGCTAAAGAAATTTGGGTTTTGTATAAAATAATAATCCCTAATAGCTTTATCTAATTTAGAACCATTTTCTTAGGGCACATCTGAGAGCCTCAACAATTAATGATTTTATTAGACATAAACCGAATTCTAATGGATTTAGAAATATATTCAATTAAAATACGAAACGAATTCGTAGAAAACAGGAGTGACTTTATTTTCCTATTCCTATTTCTTGAATACTGTAATTTATTAGTGGGTCTTTACTGTCCACAAGTTATCACCTATTGATTACGGTGGGAATCATCGCAATCCTTATCCATAACACTTACTCATTCTCCCGTGAACGCAGGAAATACGGCGTATTGCGGGAGCTACCTCCTCCTCCGACTCCGCCACCACTGCTCCCAGTTCCCTTTTGCGGACTCAGGCGACGCATGCCGTTAGTCAGGCTGCGGGATCGAGGAACACTGCTGCTGCTCCCGGAGCTCTGTCGCTGATTCTGGCCGGTGAACGGGCACGAGGGAGTCTTCCGGCCCCGGGAACCGGCTACGGGCGCCCGACCACGTCGAGTGCCTGACGTTCCGGCGCTATCCGCACTACTGCCGCCACTACTGTTCAGATGCGGCACACTCGAGGCCCGACGAACCATGGCCGCCTTTGTAGATGCCCGGGGCTGGACAGGAGCAGGAAAAGGGGGCGATTGTTAGCTCAGCACTTGGTTGTCCCGTGGACATGGCACTCCGGACACGCAGGTCGGCCGTCGATATTCAAAATTCCGCTTTTCGTTTTTCGTCGTTTGTCCGCGTTTCCGGTTAACCGCTCGCAGCGAAAACTCAACACGAACTGACTGGACAAGTTCACCAGAGCAGCCTTTTTTATTCGAGCCATCAGATTTATGGTAATTTCAGCGCACGCACACTAGTGACCACTGACCAGTGGACACGGTGGGGCAGTACCAACCACCCAACCACCCAGGGAACACCCCCGGCACCACCTGTAATTGAACTTCGCTGTGGTTGTTGCTTCCACTCGCCAAAGGCACTCGCTGTTGAGACTCCTTCCCATAATAGCAATTAAATCTACGTGCTGTTTGGTAAACAAACCGAAACTGCCCCTGCAAGTGGGTGGGTTTTTTGGGTGGCTAGATGGATGACCCCACTGCTGACCCTGGCGCCTTTCGTGCCCATTCATCGTGCGCAACTACAACAACATTAGGCGCCTTGTCGTGGCTTATTTGCATTTACTTTGGCATAATCAGAGCCGGGAAACGTGGAATTCTTTTCTAACATATTAAAGCAGGAAAACCAACGGGGGGGTTAACCGCTATTGGATACATTAGCGGAATTCCCTGAAGGCAAAATGCTTGAGTAAGAGTTATGGTTTCAGTTTCTCAAGAATATTCAATACCATATATAGTAAGCTATCGATATAAATTAGTTGTAAACTATCTATAATGTTTTAGCTAAAAACAGCATTCTAGTTTACTTAATTGATTATATACATTGTTAATTTAGTGTTATAAACCACTTTAAATCCTATTAGTTTAATAGAAAATGCTGCTTTACTTGATTCTATCCTATTCAATTGTTAATTTATAATCTATTAGCGGCCTTCATAGAGTCCATCCAATTATCTTTTCTATTTTTCAGAACACCCAATTATATTTCCTCGTTGATTACCATATAAATTGATGAGCCAATATTAGTCCTTTCGCCGAGTTACCAAACAAATTAGTAGAATTAGTTTCGATGGTTTTGTTGTATACGTCTCACAATGTTGCATGTTTATTTCTCTCATAATCCACTGCATTCCGATTTGCAGATGGCTTTCGATTTGTGTTCTAATCATAGTCATTACATGTATGTATATATATGTAGATTTAGTTATGTACTATACTTGGGGGACTGCTATTTATAAGTGTAAACCCTAATGCCTAAGTGTTTGTTTATGGGATCTCTCGCATACTCTAGCTATTTTACAAAGTGCATATGTGAAATATGCAGCCATCGATATTTACATACAGTTTAAGTGAATATAGAAATATATATATATATAATTTGATAAGCTTGTTGCAGATATTTGAATTAGCATTAGCTTAGCTTAGGCTCTCCACGGAGAGCTACTTTGAGCCTGGGGTTACCTACTGCCCTCAATTTATACAAATACGTTACTTTATTATTCTAGAGATGTTTTGTTTTTTTTTTTTAGTAGTTTAGATAAGATATAGATATCTTGTTCTCAGCCGATCGCCGAGAATAAGCGACTATATGTTTTTATCAATTAATAAGCGTAATCCATTCTGTAGTGGGGTTTGTAGTGTTATAGTTGATTCTTTTTGTGATAGAAGGATCCAAAGATATCCGTTCATTGGGGCTTGTTGCCCTGATAGACACCCTCCGAGTACTTTGGCCTGCACTCGGCGCAGAACCACTTGCCCTGCGGTGCCACCATGATGCCCACGCACTCGAAGTGGAACCACTCTATCAGGCAGTTGTCCCCGTCGCAGGCGATCATCTCGGACACCTCGTCGTAGGGACAGCGGCAATAGCAGTATACGGATTCACCCTCGCGAGCGAGACGAGCTCCTGCCGGCGGTCGAATGGGGTAGCGTATGTTGTTGGCCTTGAAGTACTGCAGCGTAGCGAAACCGGGATTGGGCAGCAGAGCAGGTGGAATGGGCTGATTGAAGGCGGTGGCTGCCGGAGGCGGTGGTGGAGGTGGTTGGACCGGCAAAGCCACCGGGAGAGGCGCTGGCACAACTGGAGGTGGTGGCGCCGGTTGCGGAGTGGCCACCAAACTGGTCACATTGATCTCCGCATCCTCGTCGTCCGAGCTGCTCTCACTGCTGTCCGTCGGCGGAGCAGTGCTGGGCAGCAAGCTGGGCCGAATCTTAAGCGTCGGAATGGGTGGCAGGTGGTCCTCTCGATCCGGTTTGTGGCGCTTGGCCGAACGAGATCCTCCTGCGCCGTGCAGCGACGACCGCTGCTTACTCCTCTTTCGCGACGATCCAGCAAACGAACTTCCACCATTGCTGTGCGAGTGGTGGTGGTGTCCGCTGTTATTGTTATTCCTGCTGCGCTGCTTGGGCGGCGTGGGCAGATCCTCCTTGGCCCAGGTCAACTGTGGTGGTGGCTGTGGCTTGATGAGCTGCATTCCCACCTGTAGCGGTGGCGCCAAGACGGCACTCATGTTCTCATCGTCGCTCGTATAGCCATAGAACTTGTTTGGTCTTCGCTGGCGTTTCGAACGCTTCAGTTGGCCATCGGCATCGGAGCAGCTGCTGCCCTCACTCATTCGGGTCATCGAAGATTGCAGATGGCGATGCGTGAGTGGGGTGACGGAAAACAGAGACTCTTGGTGGGAGTGCAAGGGAGTTGGTGGCTCCAGGGGCGCTACCATTCCATCTATGGGCAGCGGGGTACTAGCCATGGGTGGCATCTTGCCGGATTTACACGTAGACTTTCGTTCCCGCTTCTTTTTCTTGTTCCTCACCCTTTCCCGTTTCTCTGCAAAAGCAGATGCCTCTTCTGGCAGCGAGGGAGTCGAAGGACGACTGTTCTCCACTATGTCGTAGTTGTTGCTCGGCCGGAGTGGAGCATGCTCCGCCATGAGAGCCTCGCGCTTCTGGGCCAGCAGCTCATTGGCCAGTTTCTGGGGATGGGAGTCGTAGAACTCCTCATCCGTATCCGAGAAAGCCGTATCGAAATCCGACTCATTATACATCGGTGACTTTGGCGATGGAGGGGCAGCAGGATTATTCTCATTCACAGGCATGACACTGACATTCTCTTCAGGATCCCGCTCACTTTGCTGTCCTCTTTTCAGTGACTCTGAGCTCTTCTTCTGCCTCAGGGATTTCTTGCGAGCCCGTTTCTGTGGCGATCCTCGAGCATTGGAGCTGTCCGAGTCGTCGGAGTCATCGCTGGAACTGCTGCTGTTGCTGGAACTGCAGCTGCAGTTGGAGCCACAGGAGCAGCTTGAAGAATCCGATTCCGAGGAGCTGGAGCTGCTGGAACTGTCGCTTTCGCTAGAGGCATTCTGACCAGGCGTTTTGGTGGACGATTTGGTAGTCGATTTTTGTTTAATGGGCGAGGGTTGAGGTGTGCGATGGAGTTTGCAGTAGTCGTGATCGGACCAGGCCACATGAAGCTTGGTGGGCGGCTGGTTGACCACCACAGCATCCTTTTCTTCCTCCTTGACGGCCTGTTCTTCCGGGTTGATAGCCTGATTCTGCAGCAGATTCTTCCAGATCGATACATCCACTTGCTCTTCCTCCTTCTTGGGCTCAGAATCTTCATCGGCTTTGCCTGCCTCAAGCTCCTTTTCTTCTTTAGAGATGTCTGAGGATTTATCCTTGTCCTCCAGTTTAGACTTGCCATCCGCCACATCGGCATCACTCTCTGAGGATGGTGACAGCATCACCTTGGGCATGCCCAGATCATCCACAGAAGATCGCATTGGCACCACTGGCTGCTCCTGATGACTGCTTCTTGGGGCATCGGAATCGCTATCATCGCTGCTATCCGATTCCGAAAGATTGGGTGCAATGAGGTTGAGGTCCTCAAGGGATTCTTTGTTGCGCTTGGATTTTTTGCGCCGCTTACGACTTTCGGATTTACTGACTGACTGCTCCTTCACAGTCGACTCCTTGTAGTCTGGTTCCTCATTTTTGGTAGACTCTTTATTTGTTTCCGCCTCAGCAAAGTCCTTCCCCTCTTGCTGCTTTCCATCTTCCTTTTCCTCAAGGTCTTCTGCTTCCTGCTTGATTTCGTCTAGGTTTTGGGCCGTAACTCCCTTATCCGTTGGCTCCTCGGAAGCTGGTTGGGGCAATTCCTTTACCACGTGACTGCTGGCGTGCTTGAGCAGCAGCTTGCGCGACACAAACTTCTCCTCGCACCCCTCTTCTGTGCACGCATAGCGGAAGTCGCCAGAGTGCATTCTTTGGTGCACCTCCAGGTAGATGGCCTTGCTAAAGACGAAGCCACACTGCTCGCATGGGAACTGCGCGGGCGGCACACAAAAGTGGTAGACATGGCGCCAGCGCTTCTGTTGGCATTGCTTGCAGCTGGCACTCTCCGTTCCGTGCTTCCAGAACAGATGCTTTGATATGTCCTGCTTGTTGCGATAGGCAATTCCGCAGCGATAGCACAAGTGTAACAGCTTGTGCTTCCACACGTGCGCCGATAGCTTAGCCTGGCTCTGGCAATCCTCTAGACAGATGTCGCAGGCCTGGTGCTGTTTCCGCAGATGCACCATTAGCCTAAAGGCGGAGGGTAATGGAGCCATCTCGCACAGACAGCATCGAAACTGGAGGTCATATATACTCCCGGCCACCGCGCCCGGACAAATGTGGCACAGAATCTCGCTGTAGCTGTAGAAGTTCGTCTGGCACATAACGCAGGTGATGTTCGATTTGATGTGCAGCCTCCTATTGTGGGTGTACAGTTCCTTGTGCGTGGAGGTCACGTAGCGGCAGCCGAAGCACTCGTAGATTCGCTCGTTGAAGGGCTCCACATACTTGCCATCCTCGAGACTGCAGCAGCTGGCCGAATTCAGATATTCGTTCTCCAAGAGCGGTAGAAAACTTTTCAACCTTGCGACAATCGTCTCGGCATGCAGCTCCTCTGCCGTAATGCTGTCCACAGTGGCCGTAAATCTGTGCTGGCCGATTAAGTGAAGCACAAGCTGCTTTCCATTCACCGCGATCCGACGAGCGTGGTTGCAATACAGGCAAACGGAATACACTGACTTTAAACATAGTCGCACAAAATCCACCATCGAAAACCGATCCAGAGGACGATCCAATTGCAGATCCACCGTGTGCGTGTCCGCTCCAGCCACCATAATACCATCTGCAGGTGGTAGCGGCTGGACGGGAATCGGTTCAAAATGTCTTTCCTGTAAAGGTTGTGCGAGAGGTTCCAGTGATTCCTCCTTCGCCTCCGGCTGAATATCCCTACTATCCTCCATCTCCGGGCCATTCAAGCTGTCGTCTATGTCCATGCAATCACTGCCGAGGCTGTTGCGACGCTCTCCATCGGGTTGATCTTGGAATTCGGTAACCACAGCTGGTGGGGGCGGGTCGGGCAGGTTTACGTGATTGTTGTGAGGCGATGCAGGCGGCGTGAGAGACCAACGACGCTGCTCCTCCGGCTGCGGCTGCAGCTGCATTGGAGGGTCCACCCCTTGTGGCACAACGTTTTCCACCTCTGCATGGGCCATGATCACCTTAGCCTGCTTTTTTGTGATTATATCCGCCTTGGTTCGCTCAATGTCCAGCTTAGTGCGCTCCAACTCCGCCAGAACACGATTCAGCTTTGCCGAGGTCGAGTCATCGAAGCTAAACGCAGGCGGTGGAGGAGGAGGTGCTGCCTCAACAGGTAAATCCTCTGGTGGCGCTGGCTCAGCTTCTTCCTGCGGTTGCGTAGTGTCCAACTCTTCGTCCTCCGTATCCGTACTGCTTAGAGCAGCATCCACAGACTTTTGGAACTCTTTGGGCACCCGCAACATAATTTTGGGCACAACCAATTTGGGAATGGGGGGCGCTGGAGGATCCTCGACGGGTTCAGGCGCTGGAACTGTAAAAATATTTAGTAATTAGCTTTGAGATAAAGAAATTAAATTACGATAACTTACTGTTCTCTGCTGGGAAAAGGTTCTGGGGTTCCGGTTGCACCTGAAACGGTAGTGCCTCCTGCTGCTCCGGCATGTCCTCCACTGGCGCGGGCTGTGCCAGCACTTCCTGTGGAAGTGGCAGAGGCGGTTCCGGTGGTTTCCGCACCTTTCTCCGTTTTCTAACCGGTTTCCGCTTGTTATTTTTACAACCCATGGCATGACCACCCTTTTGGCCGCACAAAGCACACGGCTGCATCAGCTGGGAGCAATCGTGATCCTCAAACTCTGAGCCCTGCACAAAGGTTGCTTGGCACGTGCAACACACGAGATGCCTCGCCCTATCCTCCGTGCTCTGCTGCAATGCCCACGCATCCTTAGCAAAGTGACACTGGTCGATGTCGTGCTTGTTCTCCAAATGCAACGACAGTTTCTCCACACTAGGATACACATGGTTGCAGTACAGGCAGATGTAGCGCTGGTGCATTTCCCGCATGTGAAGGAAGAAGTGCCAGCACTGGTGCACACTGCTGCACTGAGCGCAGCGGAAAAAGCGCTCCTTTTTCTGTGCCATCTGGGAGCTGCTCCCGCTGCACTGGGCCTGATGCTCGTTCAACAGCTGGAAGCTTTCGAACTTGAACTGCAGATTGCACTTTGCACAGCTTAGGACTTGGCTTTCCACAGGGACAACTGGTGGGCCCACATTGGGATTTCCTTGGAGGCGTTGTAGGAGCAGCGAGCTGGGGACGGAGCGGCCTTCTTCGACCTTTGGCTGCTTTTCGGGTGGGCTGACGGAGGAACTTTTGCTGCGCCTGCGCTTCAGGGATAGTTTCAGCGTCTGTACCCTGACGTTGTTCTCGCTCTCCGGATGATCGATGACCAGCTGGGGCTGCGAGGCGGAGCTCACGGTGCTGCTCCGGCTACTGGTGCTCCTGGTACGGCTCCTACGAATGGGTAGGATGAGGGAGCGCGGAGGCGGCTCCTGTGGAGCAATTGTTTCCTCCACCTTAGTGTTGTTGCCAGTGTGGTTTGTTATCACAGACAGTTGCTTGGGTTCTTCTGACATTTGGCCGGTCTCCACCTGCTCGTCGTCCCTCACCTGCTCGTCGTCCCTCGCCTGCTCCTCGTCATTCTCCAGCTCCTTGTCATTCTCCTGCTCCTCGTCCCTCTCCTGATTCTCCTCTTTTAAAGCTTGATGAGCCCCATTCAATTTGATCGTCGGCACAACCTCAACAGTTGATTTTTTTGACTTCACACTATCACTCTGAACTTCATCTTCCGAATCCGACTCAATTTTTATTACTCCAGAGGTCGCATCTCCATTTTCGCTGCTTGGAAGATCCACGTCCATGGTCAGCGAAGGAGAGTCCACTGTATCGGATCCCTCTAAAAGAGATTCGCCGGCAGGCTGCAATGTAGTTTCATCCGCTTCTGGCTCTGCATTGGAAACATCCTCATCCACTGCAACTTTATAAAGATCTGCTTTGCCGTCCTCACTGCCTAAAGCGGGACTATTGGGATCTTTAATGGACAAAAACTCTCTTTCCTCACTATCCGAATCGGATTGCAGATATATAACTGACGGGGGATCTACTCTTTCCTCATCCTTGCTTTCGGAATCTTCATTGGCAATATTCGGGGAATATTTGGCTTCCACGTCCTCACTTTCTAATTCCTTTGACAGATGAAAGGCTTCCGCCTCCGCAATTTCTGCTACATGTTTAGCTTCAGGAGACTCCAATGGCTGCTCCTCTGCATCAGATAAGAACTCCATTTCGTTATCACTTAGGGATCCGGCTTTGTCCTCCTCCACTTCGGTCTTTAGTTTAATATCATCTGGAAGCTCCTCTTGCAATGGAATTTTTGCGGGTTCTTCGAGCTCCTCTGCACTATCTTCTGCCGGCTCTTGCTTAACAAGATCTGTGAAGAGAGTTTCTGGAGTTTCTGCAGTCTCCTTCTTAACATCCACATGAGATTCCTCCTGTACGGATTTGTGTGCCAGACCAGCAGCCTCCTCTTCTGTTTTGGATGACTTTTCCTGGCCATTTGCCAGGGTTAAGTCTATCACGTCATCGGCGGCGCTCTTTTTCCGCTTTCCCTCGTATTTCTCCTCCTGGTCGTTATTGTTCTCCCTCTGCTGGTGGGTCTTGTTCTTCTCCTCCGCCAGGCCCAGCCCATGATGAGGCTCCTCGAAGTCGTCTTCCTCGCCGCCAGCTCCTGCTCCCGATCCCGTTTCCGATCCTGATCCCGCTTCTCCATCATCTCTGTTAGACGTTAGCTTGGCTTGTTGCTGATCCAATGCTTCCATCATATTTTCTGCATTCACACGCTGTCAACCAAAAAGTAAGGTAAATCGATAAAGCGCACTTTGGGCTATAGTGGATTATTTTTATTACCTTTGCATGCCGTTGGCGCTGAATCCGTTCCGGTTCTCGCTCTCTCTATTTATTGTCGTTCTTCACTGTTTCCTACGCAGCTGAAAGCGAAATTAAATTATTTTGTTATTACGTGAGATATATGGTTTGGCATTTCGACAAGAAATTGACAACAAAGTCGATCGTTTATGCGAGGGTCCATAATTCGCGATACACATTGTTTATCTATATATTTACTGCATAAACATTGCAAGTCACCGGTCTCGGGGGTTTTGCAGCCCTGGCACGTAAAGTAAAGCCAAAATAATTGAAAATACCAAAATAAATGGTAGCAAAAAGTTAGCGAGAGAGCAACTTTACTGCTAAAAATAAACGAAATTACTTGAAATGTTCTTGGAATGGACACTACAATCACATGTACAGCAATTATGCACGTTTATTTACCTGCTCTTCTTCTCCTGCTGTATGTTTTTGTTGGTGTTTTCAGCTTAGTGTGTTATTGTTGTTGTTCTTGCTGTACCCCTGTGCTTAGGTAGAATTTTCCCACAAATTGTAGGCGGCAGAGAGAGAGAAAGGAGAGAGGCCAAAGAGAACGGCGGATTTTACGCGCGCAAACCGCAAATAGAGAACGTAGCCCAAAACAACAACCGATTTCACGGAAGTTTGCTGCACAACTGAACCAAAAAGAGACCGAAACCGAGGGAACTGAGAAACCGATTTTTGCCGAGACGAGACGGAACAAGAACGGGGCGCCCCCACCCCTCGGCGTACAATTATACAATTTGCGATTTGCGCCTCGCGCTTCAATTGTTTATCAACGCCCAGGACTCGCAATCGTTATGCAAGTGGATTTCAGAATTGCATGAAATTATTTATTTGGATAGTCCCGGCCAACACAAAATCTGGTCGCCTTTTTTGCGCGTCTCTTGTGAGGGGTAAAAAATTTTCTTCTTTTTGCACGTCGCCGTCCACGCTTTGCATTTTATGTGCTGCCCACTTTGTTCGCGCACTTTTCCACTGTGTTTCAGTTGCAAGACCTTGGGTATTGTATGTGGAATGGGTATTTCACAATTTGGCTGCGTTTAGCGCTCGAATTACGCGTGAAAAACAAGGATTTAGCAATATTTTTCGCCTTTTTTACAGCCATTGAAACACGCGCAGAAGCTAGTGATGCGCGGTGGCTCGATAGTTCGCGCAGCGTGCTACCAGTGATGTGCATGTGCGATAGTGGAAACGGGTTTCCCGGTTCCGATCGATTTGTTTCCCGTAAAGAGCCCGATTTTATCGATAGGTAATGATTTTGGATAAACTTTTAATTTTAAGGTGCCGTATTTCTGAAAAAGCGAGCGAAAATCGGAATAATGTTACTGAACACATTGTCTTAAAATCATTATAAATAGATTTTTTTTTCCATGTATTAATAATTCATTTAAAGGTTACTCGATTCGTTGTGATAATTATCACAAAAGAATTGAACTCATTGTGGTGTTTTGTTGTTGTTACTTTTTATCTCAGGAATTGTAAAGCTCTTGTTTAATTGTTAAGCCTTTTTTTAAATGTAAGAGTGTGTGATTAATTTTTTCTTTGGGGATAATAGCCTGTTCCCACAGGCACTATCCACCATCTCTTTGAATGATGGTCCGTAAGGTTTTGCAAACGATTCCCGGTTATTTCTTGATGGTGGAATTAACGTTCCCAACCTCACGTTTCTAGTCGATGTATTTTCAGTGCAACTCCAAGCGAAGCAAATCCAAGCGAAGCGGTTGGAATTTGTGATGGATGGTGGACTGGTCTTCCCACTGTGGTTGTTGACTTTAACTCTATCATTTGTCTGTTAGAAGTACTTTTTCCGGCTTTTTTAATGGCGGCCATCTTTCTTTCTGTGAACCGGAGACACCCCAGGCAGCAATTTGAATATAGAGTAGATATAAGCCATTCTTAAAAAGTTCAGAAAATATTTAATCATGCCTTTATGGACTTCAATGCCTTTCTGATGCCTCTTAGCCGGTCGGAATTGGCTAAGAACTATGGCACCTGTTGCACGCCCAATGAGAAACAATGCCTTTACCACTTAATTAAACTCCTTGCCGTCACGAAGCACGTCATTTAATTATTCTGCAAGTTTGATTTACGGCACTTTATGTATCTGTGACGAAGGATTGTTGCTGGGCTCGATACCTCTTAAATATCGATATTTTGAAACTTTAACTAGATTAGGAATTAATTGTGATAATTACAAGATATAATAATTCAAATTAGCAAAGGCAAATTTATTCTAAATGATTTTCCTTATTACTCCTCTCAAAACAGCTATCGATATTTTTTGTCCATCCCTGAGAATCTAGGGTCAAGTGTCATCTCGATTTGACAAGCTCTTTCCGTTTCCTTTTTGCGTGAACGTCCAACATGAGAGCCAAGGGATTGGTTAGTATTTAACAAAAAAATGATTTAAACAGTCATTATTTGTGTTTCAAATGCGTGCAACAGCCAGGCAAACATATAGCGCATGCAATGCAATTGTTTGAATTTGTGAAGATCCGCAATTTCTATGTGAAAAGACGGCTGAAGAGTACAAAATGTTGTAGACGTAGTTTGAAAATCGACAGTTCTTGAATAAACTGGTATTAAAAACTTAATTAATGCACTTTAAAGATGTTGTGAGGGGTTTTAGTGTAAGGCCCAGCTTGTGAAAGCCATTTAAAAGGTTTACAAAATTTAATTTGCGTCGCCGAAAACATAACCTTCAAAAGCCAACAGCCATGCGTGTGTTTGTTGTTTGCCTGCTTCTGGCTGCATTTGTTTACAAAGTTTTTGAAACCTTTTGACTAAACAAAATACCACTTTCAGTTGAAGGAGTACGAGGTCGTGGGCCGCAAGCTGCCCAGCGAGAAGGAGCCCCAGACGCCCCTCTACAAGATGCGGATTTTCGCTCCCGACAACATCGTGGCCAAATCCCGCTTCTGGTACTTCCTGCGCCAGCTGAAGAAGTTCAAGAAGACCACCGGCGAGATCGTGTCCATCAAGCAGGTGTACGAGACGTCGCCCATCAAGATCAAGAACTTCGGCATCTGGCTGCGCTACGATTCCCGCTCCGGCACCCACAACATGTACCGCGAGTACCGTGACCTGACCGTCGGCGGTGCTGTCACGCAGTGCTACCGCGACATGGGCGCCCGCCACCGTGCCCGTGCCCACTCCATCCAGATCATCAAGGTGGAGTCGATCGCCGCCGCCAAGACGCGCCGCGTGCACGTCAAGCAGTTCCACGACTCCAAGATCAAGTTCCCCCTGGTCCAGCGTGTCCATCACAAGGGCAACAGGAAGCTGTTCTCGTTCAGGAAGCCCAGGACCTACTTCCAGTAGGTTTCTCCTGCAGTTTTTGACCTATGACTTAGTGGATTTTTCAATAAATGAGAACGTTGAAGAGTAAACTAGGTACAAGAGCGTCTTTATTTGAGTTCGCCGCAGGCGTAGATGACAATCTTTTGGTTGGGAGTGCCCGACTTAGAACCGCATCGTTCCATTTTGCGTACCACCTCGGCGCCACTGATGACATGACCAAAGACCACATGCTTGTTGTCCAGCCAATCGGTTCTGTGGCATAAAAATACGATTAATTAATAATAACATGGGATAGCGTGCGATGTAAAGCTCACTTTGTGGTGCATATGAAGAACTGCGAGCCATTTGTATTGGCGCCAGAGTTGGCCATGGATAGAGTGCCGAAACTATTGTGTTTCAGGTTGAAATTCTCATCGTTGAACTTTTTGCCATAGATGGACTTGCCGCCAGTGCCATTATTGTTGGTAAAGTCGCCTCCTTGGCACATCTGTTGAACAAAAAACGGTTAGTACAAAGGTGGGCAGGCTTATGAGTTCTAGAACCTACAAACTCTGGAATAACGCGGTGAAAGGAGCAGCCCTTGTAGCCATAGCCCTGTTCGTGGGTGCACAGCTGTCGGAAGTTTTCGGCCGTCTTGGGCACCACATCCGCTCGCAGGAGCATTACAATGCGACCAGCATCGTTGCCGCCAATCCGCACGTCAAAGAATACTTGTGGGTTGCGTTTCTCCGCCTTTTCAATGACCGCCGGCCCCGTCGAGGGTGCCGTGTCCACCTTCTCCGCCTCCGGATCCCCTTCCGGCTCCAATGTGGCGCCCGCATGCTTCTGCAACCAGTCGTCATCAGCCCAAACAGGCTTGAAACTGTCCTCTTTAACGCGCACCGGCTTGGCCAAATTCACACGTATTGTGCGGCCACAAAGCTCTGAATCATTCTGGAAATGGTAGAGCAGTTCATAACGAAGCTATATGTTTTTATACACCACTATTTACCATATTATCTATTGCAGCAGCCGCATCCTCGGCCTGTTCGTATTCTACAAAGGCGAATCCCCGATGGCGTTGTGATTCGTAGTCCGCCGGCATTTGAATGTCGGCAATATCACCAAATGGTATGAAGGCATTGTTGAGCAGTCGCTCTGTGACCTCGTCGGCCAGGCCACCCACATAAACAGTGCGTTTATCGTTGGACATGGCTAAATTAATTCATGAAATTAAATAAATCTACAAGTAACAAGAACCCCAAACAAACAATAGTGTGGCCGTTGGTTGTTGAGCTTGAAAACCCAAAAGCCAAAGTTGCCGGACCGTTTTTAAAACATATATTAGCCTGGATCCGAACCTTTTTATTTCCATTTGGCAATGCCATATGCGGATTAAACGTTATGGTCGTTACGTTTTAAATTATTTATTGATTATGATAAGCTAAACTAAAATTACGTGATTACTGCTCCACTTTCGTTGCCACAAAAGCCCTCCAAATTCGAACTGCATGGGCTGGTGAGATTTTGCACGATCGTCTGGGGCCACAGTAGGTGGAAAACAGTCACACAATAGCTCGGCACAAAGGCAAAGGTTGCATACAGGATCAGGGAGACGCAGCTGCCCAGAAGGACATCTGAAAGGGAAAACAACTTGGTGAGATATCGTCGCAATCCATAAGCAAGTCGGGTGTTCGCCGCTCCATGACTAAGACACTAAGACACCGACTGACTGACCGGCGTTGATAAGATATCGATGAGTAAAGACAGCAGTTGTTACTTTGTAGATACGTCTTGGAATGGTATGGCATGGTGCGCTAATATTCCCGAGGGCATGGGTCCTTAGTACTTACTCAGGAAGACCTTCTCCCAGGGCTCGCAGATGGCGATCTGTGTGTTCAGCTCGTAAAGCACATACAGCCATTTCACATAGCGCTTGAATTTCGCATAATCCTTGGCCAGATTTTGGAACATGCTGTTCTTCGACATGAGCTTGTGAAATCGATGTCAGGCGATGTCGACAGTTTCAGGGTGCGCGGCGAACTAGCCCCACGCCAGGTGCGACACCTGGTACGCAGGTACCCCCGTCACCACCTTCTTATCACTGCTCCGTACAACAATGTGGTTTTTTTACCCTTTTGCAGAGGGTATTATACTTTTCAAATGAATTGAAGGAAACGTGTTCGACCTCTTACAGAATATAAATTATGGTCACAAATGTCTCCTTCACATTTGACTGAATTTGTAATGCAAATATAAGAAAAATACTTAGAAAATACTGCTTGGCCAAAGCCAAAAACTCGGAAAAATCAACTGGCAAAAGGTTGAATTGCCACACCCTCTTGAACTCATAACTATCAATATATTGTCGTTTTATATATTATTTTATATTTAAGGGTATAAAACCTTTGGCTTGCCGAAGTTTTGTTTCTTTGTTGTATTCTATTAATACATATATATACATTTTTCGGGCTGTAAACCAAATTAAATAGATTTCAAATCGGCCTCTTTCGCGCCGACAGTTGGGTAGCGCTGCGATAAAAAACAGTCCGATCGGCTACGCTAGCACTCGTTAACTCGTAGGGTGATGGCTGATAGCGAATCCCGAATGGCAGGGGGATTGCCTCTGGCCCGGGGGATCTCTGAATCACACCATCAGGGGCACCATGGAGAGCAGGAACACCCACACGGACAGCACGTCGTTGGCGTGGGCGTGCACATGGACAGCAACGCAAAACTCCACCATAGCGTCGTGGTTGTAGTGGATGCAGGTCGTCCGGATGCGCTCCGATATGGCCGCTAGATTGGTGTATGCAAAGTTGAGGGTGAAGCCGAAGAGCTGGAAGCAAATGGAAATAGGGTTGCTGATCGATTAGGTTCGTGATCGATGACGGATGAGTGTTGAGTGGGGTCGGGTAAGGCAGAGGTCGCTTTGTGACGAACAACTGCTATCAGCTCTTATCTTTTTTTGGTATTAAAGGGAGGTTTTTACACGGTACATATACCTGCGAAGTGGTTCACATTTTACTGGCCATTATAATGACAATTCACTTTTTTCGTAACCAATAAGGCTAGAATTGGATATTTTTTTGGGTAGGGACTGGACAAGCTTTGGTAACATGAACAGGCGATAGTAATATATTTTCTTTATGCCAATAAAACCAAAACTACTTCTTCTATTGTTAAATATGAACCAATAATAGTTAAGGGGCTTTACCTTTTAATTTGGTGTGTTACTCATCTCAACTTAAAATTATGTAGGCTAAAATATCCTTAAAATTAATTGAAATCTTACCCTGTAGTTGGGATATTCTCGTTCAAGCTGTTCGCTGAAAATAGGCTCATCATAACGTCCTCTGGAAAAAGTGGACAAATTTTCCATATCGCTAAGGATCTTCTGGAGACGTGGTTGAAAAGCTCTGTTAATGAAAACCATTTTAATGGTTAATTAACATATATGGGTAATTAAGGGAAAAACTCACCTGTTCCAAATGGTTTTCCTGGTGGTGCGCCAGGCGCTGATCTTCTTCATGATCTTCCGCTCGATGTGCTTCTGCAGCTGGCTCAGTTCATAGCTCCTCTTGTACACGTAGTCCAGCTTCTGGACGCCACTCTGGGGGGCAGGAACTCGTCGGCTGAAGAGTGGAAACCAGCAGGCGCCATCCTGGAAATTAAAATTTGTCATGCTGACTCGGGCTTCCGTTTGAATGTTGAAATATATCTGTCAAAACAGGCAAGATAAACAGCGAATTGGCAAGATTAACATATTAAACACTGATAACAAAATTGGAATAGTAACAACAAGACTGTGCAATAATAATAAAAATATTTATGTTTTATAATGAAATTAATTATAAAATTATAGTGTTAAATTACATGCGTATCGAATTGCATGGTTTAACATGAAGTATTTAAATGAATGTTTAAAGATTTAGATTTAAAATGGGAAATATTTGTTTAAAAGGCTTTATTTATACTTAAATTCAAATTAAATCTCCAGATGAAATTTAGTCAATCCATTTAAATTCAGTACCGAAAAATAGTCAAACTAAAAATTATATAAAACAATTTTCACCAGTTTAGTCAAACTTACATTCTGTTTTGCAACCACACAATATATTCGCCTCAGCGGACAATGCACATCCTGGAGCTGGTATCTCTTGCCAGTGGCAGGAGAAACCAGGACAAGTTCAGCAGTTTCCGGTTGGCGGAAAAGCACAAAGGAGCACTCGCCATGGGGACAGGCCACGCCCAGGATGAGCCAGCACTCCAGGCCCAAGCAGAGCATATAGTTACAGAGCAGGACACCCAGATCCTTGACCGAGCACCAGGTGCTGTCCAGCAGCGTCTGATTGTCCAGCCAAACGCCCCGGAATCCCTGGCAGGGATCATAGGTGCGGAACTGACTGAGCAGCGAGACAAAGCGACAGGAGGCTTCCAGTGGATTCTCCCCGGTGGCCACCGCCGGAGGAAGGGGCACAGCATCCAGGAGTCTCGTGAGGCACACCCTCTTGCCCTGGGCCGTGCACACCAGTGGTTCCACATACCGCTGTGGCTGGGGCAGCAGTTGCAACAGTTCCAGTCGCCTTTCCCCCAGATATTGCTGCGTTTCCGGCATTTCCGCACAGGCCAAGGCACTCGATTGCAGTGGCATCAAATCTCCGCCACCGGGCTCGATGCTCAGGTAGAGCCACAGGTGCACTGCCTCCTTGAACTCGGGATACTGATCCGCGGACATGTTGGTCACCGAGTCAATCAAAGGTCGTTTGTAGCCCACCAGAACTTTGGGCATGGCCAACTCGATGCAGCCCTCAAACTGGGAATACAAAATTTGAAGTTTTGGGAGTTAACAATTTGCTAATTAAGGGGTAACCGCCAGTTATATGCTATTTTCGGGAATTTTTTAGAATTACATATATTTAATACATTTTTAGTTATTTTTGCATTAAAAAATGTCCAGATTTCTTTTTAAACTTCAAAGTTAAAGTAAAGTAACTTACCTTACGACTGGCCAGCAGACTATTGATGGGCACCCGGAATTCGCCCAGCCAATTGCACTGGACCCGCTGGTACAAATCGGAGGCCTCGTCGCTGTACTGCTGCTCTATGAGCTCGTCGAACAGACTGATCTTGAGATCCTCGCGCAGATCCCCGAACTGACTGTGGATCTGCAGCTGCAGTTGCTCGTTCCAGGTGGGATTGCTGCCCTCGGCGGTGCGACTCCGGCACAAACGCTGGCCATAGCTCAGCGTAACAAAGGGCCGAACATTGGAGTACATGAGGGCTGGAAGGCGTCATTAATAGTGACTCATATGGCAAAGCTTCTAAAAATTAATCTGGGAGTCCCATGATCTCCCTATCTAATAATGAGATTATGACTCACACAAGTATTTTAGTTAAACGATTTGGTCGTTCAATGAGTAATTCTAGTCATCAATCATTTTTAGACGGCGTTATCCCTATAAATTGTCAATTTAATTTGTAATAGTCTTTATGTTCATTTCATAATACCCTTTTTAGAAAACATTATGACTTTATGATACGTATGCTTATTTATTTCAATGCCACTAGGAGAGGGAATTTTATAAGTCCCGACTTCTGTAAAACAATTTTCGTCTACACATAATTTTAATTTTGACTCTTTCGTGGTATTAATTAAAAACTTTAATTTTAAATTCATTTCACAATGGTTTAGTTTGTATGACAATTTTTTTTGGTTGTAGTTCACCTATGTTATCATTTTTGGTTAAATATTCTATATCATCTATAATTTTAATGGAATGGATGTTAGTTGCGCTTTGGTATTTGTTTTATCAAATTGGGACCAGAAGAAGGGTTTCCCTATTTTATAAATTTAATTACCAATTCTCGCTAACTGATTTTACTTATATTTTTAATGAAATATTTCCATTAAATGATTAATTCTAATCCCCAATCAATACTCACTCTGTGTGACGAACAAACTGGTGCTCATATCGCCTCCAGAACTGGTGCGTCGCTCGTTGAGATTCAGGATGTGGCGACTGCGGACCGGAACCCCTGTGGCCCGGACCACATGAAGGGAGACGTTGAAGTGCTTGAAGAGATCGGTTCCGGACTGCTGCTGGCCAGACCAAATGGCTGGTTCCCGGGGCAGTGAAGTGGGCTGCCCTTGGAAAACGGAGCAGATGGCCCGCCAGAGAGCTGTCCAACCGGCGGCAGATGAGTGATCCGAGTCCTCGGCCAGGAGAAGCAGCGGCAGAGGCGTCTCCAGCTCCTTGGCTCTCCGCGAACTCTGGCTGGTGATCACCTCGTAGAGCAGTTGGAGGAACTTGCGCCCCCGGTGCTTGTGCAGATCGATGGGGTTCCAGTAGGTGCCCGGCTCCAGGAGCTGAACCTTGGTTCCGAGCCCATCCGGCAGCTGCTCCTCCTCCGAGATTTCCTGCTCCAGGGCGGGCACAAAGCGTAGCTGCCTGGTGTGCAGGTTTCGCTGCTGATGGCGAGAGTGGAGCAACTGGAATCGTCGGTTCTCCAGGAGCTCCTCAATGGCACAGAACTGGAGCTGCTGCTCGGCGAAGATCAGCGGAGGCAGCTGGCTCCTCCTGGTCCTCCCACTTGGCGGTCTGGGTGTGACCAGCTCCTTGGAGGCTTCGGGCAAAGCGCAGAGTTTCGGCGGCATAAAAGTCTGACGCAGTGCGTCCGGTAGTCTTTGCACATCGTCTAGATTGTGGGCTCCTCCCCATCCCTCCGTGGATCGGTATTCGTAGTACAGATAGACATCGCCTGCCAACTGGGTGGCGGATGAGGATGAGGTTCGGAAGCTGAGCCTTTCCTGCATCGCATCCTCCTTGGAGCTCAATAGGAGCGGGGTGCTCATCTGGGCCAGGCGGCGACTCTTCGGAGTCAACGTGGACTTCTCATACAGCTGGAGGTACAAAATTTAATCACAATTAAAGAAAAGTAATAATAAACGGTAAAGATAAATATACTTGGAAAAGACAAGCATTTTAAATTAAATTTAAATATTTTCCCTTTTGATTTTCATTAAGTTATTTATTTTACATATTGAATGTTAAAT